GCCTCACTTTCCTGAAAGTTACGAATCAGGCTGCAACCACAAGTTCAGCAGTTCGAAACTACCAGCTAGAGAAAGATGAGGTTTTCTGCTCCTGTAAAGATTTACAGCCTCGGAAACCTTGTACAGGATCGCTATGAGTCAGAACCAACTCCACGGCACATAACAACACAACAAAAATGCTCACTGTAGCATTATTCACAATCCAAAAAAGATAGACAGCCAAGGCGCCCATCAGCACAGGGATGGTTGAACAAACTTTGGTTGAACAAACCATACAATGGAATGCTATGTAACACTAAAGAATAATGACGAATCTGCAAAACACTACACCACATGGAGGAACCTGAGGACATTATGCTCAATGAAATTAGTTGGGCACAAAGGGACAGATATTATATGAGACCACTACTGTAAAAGAAACATTCTATGATGGTTACCAAAGGTAGGAGGCAAGGGAGAAATATTCACTGGTCAGTGTGCTGCCATAAGGTCACCAGTTCAAACCTACCAACCGCTCCTCGGAAACCTTATACAGGGTCACTATGAGTCAGAACGGACTCTATGCACTTAACAACAGCAACAACAGAGTGTAGACATGTGCTTACTTGGGTGATGAGGAAAAGAAATTTCTTTATTTTTTACGTACTTGAAGGGAAACCATGTATATTAATTTTCTCATTAGGAGAAACCATTAGGAGCTTTGCAGTAAAAGAAAATAGAAGAGAAAACAAATTGGAACTGGGTAGTATTGATGGCTATGCAACATGAGGAGTGTGAGCGCTGTGACTCGATTGTACGCATACAAAGGATGGAATGAATGTTTTGTCGTAAAACGTGGCCACAATCTTAAAAAAAAAAAAAGAAAAGATCCTATAATCAACTCCATCCAACTCACAAACACTTACTCTCCCATTGTCTTTCCATGTGAGGTCAAACATTTACAATTGTGAGTTGCAGAAAAAAAATCTACTCAATAAGATAACTTTAAAAGCACTCCTAGAGATTTGAAATCCCTCACTTTATTTAGGTTTTGTGTCATTTGGGTACTGGATTCAAGTGCTTCAGTTCTCACTCACATCTGCTCTCTCTTTCTCTGTATCCTCCCCGCTCCATGAAAAAAATAATAACATAAGCATGAATTTGAAAACGGGTCAATACCTTTTGTTGATTGAACTAACAGTACTATAGGAGGAAAAAAAATTTTTTTCAGTTCTAGTTTTCATTTCTTTGCAAGTTCTAAAGTGGTGGTGGTGGTGGTTGTGTGCAGTTAAGTCAGTTCTGACTCCACCCTGTGTAGTGTTTCTAAGGCTATAAGCCTTTATGGAAGCAGAAAGCCTCATTCTTCTCCTGTGTGGAC